TTGTAAAGAAAGAAATTTAATCGCGAAACGTCTTAGAACCACGAGATATTACTGAATTGAGTCTAATTAACGTTGGACGTAGATGGTTTATTGGATTTAATGAATTTTCCGAATTATAATCGACGGGAATCGCGTAACCGTACCCTATCGATTTCGGAATCCGTATTCTTCTGATGAATACCTATATTTTCGAAAGCCCTTCTGGTAGTTAGCGAACTGGCCGCCTCAATTAGCGGAACTTGCAGGTACGTTACCGAGGTCCAATTAGTCATAGCTTGTAAACTGCTCCACGCTTACTCGAGTGAAACTAATAACTTTTCGACCGCAAGGTATACACGCTGATATCTCCCTTCGTAACCCCCTTACCTTCAATTCCCTACCACCCAAGGCCCCACCTCCCCCAACCCCAACCCCAACCCATTCCACCTATTAAGGTAGAAACTGCATACATTTGTAAGTAACCTCGGCGGCAGGGTGGTTGGTGGTGCGTTCTAACTTGTATTTTCTTGGCTACGCGATCAAGAGAGCTTTATCGCGTGCATTCTTATTTTTGTTCGGGAATGGGACCACCCCTATATCAAATAGGGTATACACACTACTTTCTTCATGTATATAGTTACTTTAATGTTTCGGTTGATATCGATTTACCGAGAACATTTCATGACCAACGTAATTAAAGATAAACATTATCGAATTTAAAGAATAGGAACAAAAGGTATATGTTTGATCATCTAAAAAAATATCATTATATCAAAAATTATATAATCTGTAATATATAAAAGATTAATTTTATATGAGAAAATAGTATAGGAACTTCTCGTGGACCGCTGATAGTTACATGCCAGGTCTCAATTAGTAAAACTTACGTCGCCGGGGTCCAATTAGACGTAGGCTAGAAGCTACACCCTGTTTGCTCGAGTTTGCCTATATCTACTACCTGTACTACGACGACGACGACGACGACGACGACACGGATGGGGTTGCTGCCCGTCCTACAGCACCCGTTGCTTGCTGTCTTTTTCCTCCGCTAATGACTAATTAGCAGCCTCTCCACTTCATAGTATAATGACACGGGAGGCAGTCTCGAGTCGTCGGCTGGGATCATTATTAAACCCCGAAATTGCAATGGTGCTCACTGTCCCATCACCTTTTTCTCTCTCTTTCTCTTATAGGCAAGTCAATTTTCTTTCTTCTCGTGTCAACGAAATTTCTCGATCGTCTAATGAAATATTTCATTAAAATTTATAACAAAAAGAATAAAAAATGTATAACTGTAAACCTAATTTTTTTTTCTAGTAATTATTTCTTTATCAAAGTCTAAATTAATAACATCGCTTGTGGAATGATTCGAAAGAACGTATCACTTGCAAGGGCTTTTTTGTTCCCATTACCCATCGTCCAATTCACCCCTCGATTTCCGAGTTGAAAAGGCAAAGGTCATCGATGAGTGTTCTTCGAAAAAATGTCTATGAAATTGAAAAGCGTATACTGCATTTCACCGCGTGTCGGAGGGTTTGGACGTACTAACATCTTCCATTTCATTTTATTCTTCTACCCCTCACCTAGATAGAAATATTATACGCGGGACGTCGTCCACTCGCACGAGTCTTCCAACGAGTTAGAAAGAGAGAGAAATAGGGAAAGGGAGAGAGAGAGAAAAGGGGATTCCGTCAAACTCCCTTTTTTTATTTTTCCGTTCCTCTCTATCCCGTGCAGTCGCGTATTACTTTGCATTCCACTCCATCTTGGTCTTCTTCTTCTTCTTCTTCTTCCTCTTCTTCCTTTTTTTATTTTTCGTTTCCTTCTTCTTCTTCTTCTTCTTCTTCTTCTTCTTCTTCTTCTTCCATTTCCCCAACCATTCTCTTCTTTTACATTTATTTATTTCCTAAATGTCCGACCCCGCCGGCTACTTTATATTTGACATTTTTATTAAACCACCCGCCAACCCTGTCCGACTGGACAGGATATCTCGCGACGGATAGTCCGGAGTTTTGGCCGAGTGGCGAATGGGGATGGAAGGAAGGGTAGTAGTAGTAGTGTAGTAGTAGTAGTAGTATTAGGAGTAGTAGTAGTAGTAGTGGAGAACGTTGAGGAAGCAAACGGGGAGAGTTGAGGAGGAAGAAGGGAGGGGGGGGGTGGCGGCTATAGGTGCTCCCATATTGCTGTTAGGGCAGTTTCATAATCTCGGAAGGGTGCCCCTCTTCTCTTATATTGACCGAATAAAAAGTCCTATACATTTTACCGATCGGATATCGTACTTACTTTTCCCACTATCCCTCCACCCTGCCTCACCCATGACCGTTCGTTCGTTTATGGTTGTATCGTTTTTCATATGTACTCTCTCTCTCTCTCTCTTTTTCTTTTTCTTCTTCTCATTCCTTTTGATTAATTCGAACGAAAAATAATTTGACAAATCAAACTTAATTGTTTTCAAATCTCATTTTATTGTTTTTACTTTAGCAACAATTAAATGCCCACTCGATAACTGACCTCGTATGAGAAGAGGAGGAAGGGGAAAGGGTTTGTAGATGCGGTTCAATAAAATAATGTAAGCAGCATTGCAATATTGTTGTAAGTAAAGTTGATTAAACCGACCGTATGGGGGTAGGAAGAAGAGAAAATGTTTACAAAAGGGGCTGTAATAATGTATAAGAATCGGGAGAGAGAAAACTGCGAGGAAAAAATTCAATCGTAGTGTAACGAAACGTTTAACAGAACGAACAGAATTGAAGGAGAAGAGGGAGAGGATTTAATGTAAGAGGAAGGGAGGAAAATGAGAAGTAGGAGGAGGGTAACAGGAATGCATGCAGTCGATATGCAACAGCAATGCTACAATATCGAGTTGTTGAACGGGCACGGTCACCATAGGTGTACGTTCACCATGGATCAGGATATTGCGGTTTCGATCGTATTTATCATTCGAGTCAACTAGATCTTGTCTCCCTCTCTCTCTCTCTCATTCTCTTTCGTTTTAACTTATTCGCTAGGTACGCAAATTCAATCGCAAAAGAAGAAACGTCTCTTTTGTGGATTTCGTTAATTCCCGAGAACGCACGAGAGAGAATCGTAATAATATGTTCATAAATGTGCATTAACACACAGTAAGAATACTCATGCGCGTCTCTGGTGTATATGTATTTGCTATAGGTATGCTGTTGAGCAGCAGCACGGTGGTAGTCTGTTATTTGTGTCTAGCTAGCTAGCTAGCCTCTCAAGTTCATACTGGTCCGTGACGCGTTGAAAGATTAAATTACATAGACCGGTTCGCGTATCCAATTTGTGCGATTTAATCGTCTCGAGTCAAGCAACAGCAGCACCAACAACAACAACCATTGCAACGCGCCATCACCAGTAGTAGTAGTAATCATGACTGCTAAACTTGCTTTTATTGTTTTCCGTTTTTCCACATCTCCTCGCGATCCGTATTTCCCGTTTAAGTAAACAAATACAAATCGTAGATAGGAAACAAACAATTTATTGCAATTTACCGAAAGCAGCTTTTTTTTCTTTCTTTTTTCTTTTTCTTATTCGCAAGGGGTTGTTATTGAAGTATCCGCGCGGATAAATCCTATTTCGGCGATTGCGGTTTAACGAAAAAACGAGAAAATAATGAAATAAAAATAGAGAAAAGAAGGAGAAAGAGAAGGGGAAGCAGGGAGAAGGGGGGAAAGGGGAAAGTGGTTTTAGCAAAATAGAAAAGACGCGTTTCGTTTTGACGAATCACGAGGCGCCTAGCAGCGGATATCTCTCGTCGAGTCGGACTACGAGAGAAGAGAGGAGAGAAGGCTGGGGGGTTGGAGGGGTGATCACTGGAGGAACGATGTTTTTTTCCTCCGCGGCTCCTCTTTAATTTGCCCTCCAATTAACGGACGGGGTCCTATTTGAAAAATACCTGCCACGAGGGCTGGCAATTATACTTCTTCCTTTTTTTTTTTTTTTTGCGCCACGAGCGCGTTATTAGCGCTATCCGTTCTCTCTCTCTCTCTCTCTCTCTCTCTCTCTCTTTCTCTTTCTTTTTCTCTTTCTTTCTTCATCGTTTGACGCGCATGTGTAGGTGTGCGCATGCTACCACTCGTTCTCTCTCTCTCTCTCTCTCTTTATCTTCTTCTCACTCTTTCCATAGATCTCTGTACAATTGTATATACTTTGCTTGTACGTGGATGTATTCCATGTATGTGTGTGTACATGCAATAAAGAAAGAGAGAATGATACATAGAACGAAGGTGGTATACATACTTATATACGACGGTAACCTGAACGAGGAAGACAGAGAATAAGAGAGAAAGATAGAGAGAGAGAAATAGAGAGAGAGAGAGTGAGAGAGAGAGAAGAGTAGCGTTTATAACTCGTGCCCGGGTCTCCCAGCTTTGAGAAGGCCAATTAGCAGCATAAAGCTGCAGCTTGGCCCCGGGGCCGAGGATGTTTGTATGTAATAATGGATTGTTACTCAAAGTATCCGGCTAATTAATTAAGCCCCGCGCCTCGCCGTGTACCCTTTCCCCATCCCACTCTCGGGAATCCTTCCTCTGGTGTCGCGCGCGCAAGAAGCAACCCCCAACCCAACCCAACCCAACCCACTCCTCCTCCCGAGGTTTGCCGCGCGCGCACCTCTCAACACAGTCCACCACCCGCCAAGCCACCCTCTCGTGCCATCTACCTACCCTCCGTCTCTCCCCTCACCGTTCGAATTGCTTCGGTATAGAGAAACGACGTGCGTTTACGTTTTCAACAGAAATCTGTTCGTTCAGACGCGTTGTTGCATTTCAAAACTGCCCCGCCGTTGGTACATTATTTTAACAAAATTTTTCGGTGATCTATGGGGTTACCTATCTGGGTTTATATATATATATGTTATCGATATCTTCTTCACATTTTTGTTTTGGGTTGAAAACTTTGGAAGAAGTATGATATTTTTTTGTGTAAGGATTTTAAAAATAACATATATAGATTTTCGTTTGCTTTTCGTCAAAATGATGAAAGATTTGATGTTTTACGGATCCTCCTCTCTCGTTAATGTTGCAGGAGGCGTTATAGCTGGGATCAGGATGACTATGGACGTGAGTAAGTCGGAAACGAATAAAAACGGTTCGACGCAGCAGGAATGTGCCGGTTGTGGGAAAACCATCACGGAAAGGTGGGTCAGGCAAATGGAGTTTCGACTTGAAAACACGATTTTTCGATCGTTCCCTCCTCCTCCTCCTCCTCCTCCTCCTCCTCTTCCTCATCCACCTTCTCATCCTCTTTCCAGCACCCCAACCCAACCCCCCTCGAACCCCATCAGTTGCAGCAGCAGCAGCAGCCGTATCCATTATTTCGTGCTCTCCACTTTCGATCGTGGCTATTAGCGTTTTTAACGAGAAGCATTCGAGGCACACATCGCTCCTAGCGCTCGACTTTTTTATTTCGATCGGTTATCCAGTATCCGTTCTGAAAGCCTCCAATCAGAGCCGCCACCGCGTTTGTTTCGATTTAACTGACCGACGGGAACATTTTCGAATTGTTCTAAACTGTCGGATATATACGTGCTGGGAATTTTATGTATAACATTTCTCGCTCCCGATGAGCAGATTAATAAAAGAAAAAAACAAAACTAAAAAAGAATAATAATAATAAAATAATAAAAATACAAGTCGGTTGGAAGGAAGATAAAGGAAAAAAAAAAGGGGAAAGAAAAAAAAATAATATCTACGTGTATATCGGAATAATTGTTGTGCACACGTGGATAACGAGTAGCAATAAACGAGTGAAATTGTTCGTGCAACGTAAAAAAAGCTCACGAATACCAATCTGCCTACCAGCAAAGATAGAAATGAATATGAATTTCTATTCGCGTGTATTATTTTCAAACTTATTTTTTCTGTTGCGATGCCAAACGGAGATCAATAAACGATCATCTCAGTTGTTTCTATCTCGCGGCAGTTCGTTTTATTCGTTTAACAGAAACGCGTATTTCGCTTCATTAGTATACCGACCCTTTTAAAAATCAACACATATACCGACTACTAACGATTCGTTTTTTTTTTTTCTCCTCTCTTTCCTTTTTCCTCTTGCTCTCTCGCTCTCTTTATTTAGCAATTTAATTGCATAGAATTAATGAATAGCTTTAATTCATTCCGAATCGTACGTCTTTTGAATTTTTTACGATAGATAGATCAATCGGTTTGTCAAGTAAAGTACCTCTGACCCGTTTCAAATAATAGTCATCAATAATAACTTTTGAATCTTTACCACTCATATATGTCAACGTCACGATTTGACGTAATATTTGTTGACACCAACTCTAATGACGAGCTAGCTAGATATGGATATAATATATTTTTGTACACGATTTTTGCATGCACTTTTACAATAAATACATTTTATCGAGAGTTATTTGATCTATTTCGTAAATATATAATTAAAAAAGAAAAACAAATTAAATAATAAAGAATGGAATGGTTTAAGAACTTAGACTTTAGACATCGAAATGAAATTTTTGAAATAGATAATGTCCGTAGGATTATTAATAAAAGAAATATGTAAGAAAAGGCTAGTTTATTTGTATGGGAATGTCTTTAAAGTGAACACTGTCGGTAATAAGAGAAACTACGGTCGGTTTTACAGGTATCTTCTGAAAGCTCTGGACCTTTACTGGCACGAGGATTGTCTCAAGTGCGGATGCTGCGACTGTAGGTTAGGCGAGGTCGGTTCCACACTTTATACAAAGGCCAACCTTATCCTCTGCAAGAGGGACTACCTTAGGCTCTTCGGGAACACCGGATATTGTGCGGCCTGCAACAAATCTATACCGGCCTTCGAAATGGTCATGCGAGCCAGAACAAACGTCTATCATCTTGATTGTTTCGCTTGTCAACAGTGTACGCATCGGTAAGTATTAATAATAATAATAATAAATAGATAATAATAATAATATTAAAAGAATAAAATAAATGGTATACACTTTATATCACTATCCTTATCGTAAAATTAGAAATTACGAATGCGCGATGCAAGTTTCAAAGATAATTACAATAGCTGAAGTATATAAGGTCCTGGACTCCTCTAGGAGTCAGCCAGAGTAGACTGGGAATGAGTTGGAACGAGACAGAGTCGACTCGGGGGATTCCTTTACAGGCCAGCTGGGAAATCACCCTTTGCTCTGACCCTCTTCCTCCTTCTCTTTTCTCCCTTTCATCCTCATCTATATCCTACTACCTTCCACTATTCGTATTTCACTTCTCATTTTATTTGCTCCTTCTCTTTTTCTACATTTTTATCTCTTAACTCTTTCATATCCACTTTTCCAAAAAGCAACGAGGGCAAAAAGATATTCGCGCTTTCGTATTATTATTATTATTATTGTTATTATTTTGTTTTCTTAACAATGTTGCAATAGGAATTTTTTGATTAGAGACTTTAAAACCTCTCGACGGGTTACTTTTTTTATCTCATATTTTGGCCTATTTTCTTTTTTACCGAGCTAGCACTAATTGGGGGTGGGGAGAGCAGGGGAAACAAAACAAAACAACGAATGTTGCCGAGGAAAATGATTTTAATTGTTTGTTTCTATTTCGCGTAGAATAAATTTAATATAAAAATTAATTAAACGTAGACGCGTATACTTACGTGTATCGGTGTTCTTGAAGATTTGTTCACGTTGACGTTTGTTCGATGATAGATAGAAATAATAACTTGTACTATTTTTTCTTTCTATAATGTAAGAAAAGAATCACGAATAGAAAAGAATACAGAGACGAATGTAAAATAGCGTGAAACTACAAAGCAAGCATAGAAATATAGAGGGTAACATTGCGTGAGAGAAAGAGAGAGAGAGAGAGAGAGAGAGAGAAAGCTGGCTTATTGACGGCTCGTTGGAATTGAGAAAAAGAGATAGAGTAAAGTTGGCGAAGAAGGGCAAAGGGTTGCAGTCGTTGGTCAGAGGGAATGTGCTGTCGGGGGTACTTTTTTCGGAGGAGGGATGAGGTCTAGTGGTGAAACGCGTAGAGAAAGAGAAACAGTAACGAAAGAGGATGAGGGTAGAGGATGAGGAAGAGAAAGGGTTGTAGTTTTCAAGCCAATAGTAATGGCTCGGCCAGGCGTGCGACAAACGTTCTACAGCTTCTCAAACAATGTGAACAAAAGAGCATCAATTTTACGTTTTTATCGTTGGCCATTGTCTATCTTTGACAATACCCTAGTCGGCACAGTGCTTTTTCTTTCTCTGTCGGCTCCCAGGCCTATTATTTCTTGATGATACGACACGACCAACGATAACTTAACTGTCTTCGACAATTCGATGTCACGAAATGTCGGAAACAATTCTAATCTAATAATCACTTACATCAACCTCATTTTTCTTCTTAAACATTCCGCTTAAATGCTAAACAATTAATTTTTATCATCCTTGATGAATACACATCCTGTATTAGTCGTCCATATATATGGTAGTGTCCAAAAATTGGCTATTCATGAACATATATGAATATAATATATTATTTTGTATAATTATATATATATATATATATATATTATATTAAACATTTATTTTGAAAATATAATTTCATATATGTTCATGTATGTTCATAAATGTCAAGCTATGCACATATACGCAGCATGTATGTGATCATATATACACCATGTAGCCTTCTCATATCTGTTCATTTATGATTATTTTTGCTTGTATTATTCTGTGAATTATTGCTTAAGCATTATTGTTTTCTCACTTAAACTTGTATACTCCATTCTCGTTCTAATCTTATCGGATTACATTCAATTAGCTTTACCAGGTAAACCAAAATTTATTTCTAACCGTAGTACCTTTTTTCCTCCTCCCCATCCCTGTAATTTTAAGCCCCTATAAATGTACTAATCTCTTTTTCTTCCAATTCTCTTAGTATCGTGTCCGACCATTATTTCTATTTTTAGGCTTCTCTCTCATTAGATTCAACTCACATCTCTAACGTTTAGGTTTATTCTTACCTAAAAAAAGAAACAAATAAAAAAAAAAAAAAAAAGAAAAAACGAAATACTCTTGATATATATATTTTCGTCATATCCTTCTTGAGAAGAGTTAGAGACTCTCGAACGAAGGCAATAAACATTTTCGTTCTCGCGAAAGACATCCAATTATTTTTGTAGCGCAAAGGTAGAAAGAAAAATAGAGAAAGAGAGAAAGAGAGAGAGGAATAGAGGATAGGTTTTCTCTGCTTTAGCGAGGCAAACTCGAAGAAGGCAATTATATGCGCATGAAAGAGGCGGCAGTGTAGTACCAGTAGCAGTGGAAACAACGTCGGCAGTGTGTCGCGTAACAGGACGACTTAGAGCTTGCAATTAAACAGCAACAATTACGGTGCGGGGTAACTTTAGACTGTAATAACACGGAATAAAGGGTTGCCGGTGGCATGGACTATGTTGCCACCCTCCTAGACAGAGGGATGATTTACCGATCCAATTAGCTACATCTCCCTCTCTCTCTCTCTCATCGTCGTTGTCTCTCTTTCTCACACATACACACGCGTACACACACAGACAGATAGAGACAGAGACAGTCGTTTAACAGAACTCAACCATTCGCATTCTTGTATTCCATCGCACCTGCTAACTCTACGGATGATCGATGCGTATGACAAAATTTATATCGATTTAGTATTCTTCTCCCATTTTTTTTCCCTCCCTCTTTGTCTTCTTATTTCGATTATTTTATTTTTTACCTTCACTCGTAAGAGGAGGAGAAATCCCAGACAAATCTTTTACAGTTTTATTTGCATCCACGGAACGGACAGATATATATATATATATATATATATATATATATATATATATATGTATATATATATTTTCAAAGTGCTAAGTTTAGCGAGAAAATCGTTGAGACATTCTTTCGAAGGATTCAGCAGAAACATTGGGAGGGAAGGAAACGTTGCTACATTTTCAGTATTTCGCATTCGTCCAAGCACCATAGGTATTACTCTTGGAGGGGCTATGGGCATGCTGGCACCACTGGGGTCGGCAGTAAAGCGGTCCTAATGGGGTCACACATTGGCACCGACTATCACATTTATTTATTCAAACTGCAATACACTCTCTTTCTTTCTATCTCTATCTCTTCTTTCCTTTCCTTTCCTTTCTTTTCTTTCTTTCTTTTTATCCTTTTTCTCTCTCATTTTTGTTTTCCCATTCTAGATAGCACAACGCGTCTCTATTTTCCGTTTCGTGCAATAGTATCCTCGGTGTGCCGGGATGTTTCGCAAAGCCCGGTGACCCTCATTAAAGATTCAACCAAGTTATCCGAGTATACCCAGATTGAAATTTTCCATGCAAACTCGAGGGCGAGACGCCGTTCCTCTCTCCTCCTCCTCCATCTCCAAACAAACCACTCACTACTCCTCTCTCTCTCTCTCTCTCTTTCTCTCCTTCGCTGTCTTTTTTTCTCTTGTGATTTTAACATCTCTCTCTCTCTCTCTCTCTCTCTCTCTCTCATACTCCTTCCTTCTCAGTTCTGTACTCTTACATCCTTTAGGAACCAACTCTCGCTCATGCTAGCAAACGATTAATATTTCAAACTTCTTGCACTTGCTGTTCCTGTACACGTACTATACTCCTAGCTTCTCTTACATTTGCAGTTTTGTAAATGTGAAAAAGGTTTACCTTTTCCCATTCGAGATCGTGCTCTTCTTCAACATCATCGACATCTTTAACCTCTTGCCCTACGATTTAAGTTCCGATAGGTTGTGCCACAATCAACAGCAAAAGTTCGCGTAACTCGTTGTACCATTTTTCACGGTTCGGCTGAACATTAGAAATTGTGTTAACCAGTAGAAAATCTTCAAAAGACACCCTCCTCTCCAGGCCTTTACCTAGTGTCTGGTTTGGACACGAATCAGCTCCAACCCGAACCAGGCACGAATAAGAACCCTCCGTGTTAAACCCTAGCAACAAATCGCGAACCTGGCACGTGTTGTTTATGTTTCACCCGATCAAAGTGTACCACAATGTTCTCACCCATGATTCTCATGTTTTGTCTGTTTTCTTTATCACGAGTCTCGTCAATCCATTGTAGAACAATGGGTTTATTCTTCTTCCTCTGCCAATTTGATAAGATTTATTTTTGAACAATACAACGAAGCCCTTATTATTTGATCGGGCAATCTCTTGAAAATTATGAATTCGATTATATAAACCGACTGGTAGGCGAATTAGAAAAATGGTTTTAAAGCTAAAACGGTTAGCTAATTAGTTCGCTCGTTCGAATGAAAATCGCGTTAGTTGGAAGAGAAAGAGATAGATAAAGAGAGAGAGAGAGAGAGTAATAGGTTGAGTCGCATTTGGTATCATCGTGAACGTGGGGTGGCAAATGTTTCCGCGAGAATTAAAGGATCGGCTTTCGCGCCGCGTGGCATTATTCGCGAGTGAGCATAATAATGGAAAATCCAACGCAATGAGTGTGCTCGTACTGCTGGGCGATAATACCAATGACTGGGCAGTTATGATAATCTCTCTATCTCTAGTCCAGACGAGAGAGACTGAACCAAAAAGCTTTTCAAAACACCCAACTGTTTTCTCCGAGTCCTAATTGATAGCCAACTCTCGGACCCGAAATATCCTTTTATATTATTCCCATTTCTATCATTTCGGTCGTAACATCCAAATTTATTTTTACGTTTTCTACTTTTAATAAGGATGAATAAATTAAAGTCACACAAATATTATATGCCTAGTGATAATTAGAATTAAATGTCAATAGTAATATTCTGTTAGTTGACTGATGATGACAAATCTTTTATAATCAATCATCGTAATACTTTGCGTATTCTTATTGGAAATGAATCAAATAACATTTACTGTGCCATGCAAGTTTTACACGTTTTAACTGAGACCTCATAATTTTAACGTTTAAATATAAAACAATATGTTAGAAATTACTTATACATTCCTGATTGACCGAACAAACGTATGTCAGCTACCGTGGAATAACCAACGTGACAAAACTAAATTTTTCTAAATTATATTTCATTGCCCCCAAAAAAAATATAACACGATTTTATCGTTGATAAAAAAAGAACCTTTCAGACATTTTACCCGTTTCTTTCTTTTTTTAAAAAAAAAAAACAGAAAAACCGAAGTTCGAATTGCAACGACTACTACCACTAACACTAACAACCGCGGCGTCATTTAGCACAGAGACGTGTCAGCCGTATAATGTGCGAGGGAGTAAAAGAGAGAGAGAGAGAGAGAGGAACAGAGAGAGAAAAGGCGATAGTGTGAGAAGAGAATAGGGGGTGGTGGTGTTGGATGTTGGAAGGCTTGGAAAGGAGGGAAAGCTGGTGGGTGTATAAGCTACGCTAGAACAGTACGGCCGCGTGCAGGATGCGCGCTAATTCTATTTGCCGTGCGATTACGAGAGTATCTACCACGAGCCAGACTCGGCTTGCTCTTCTATTTCGCTCTCGTATTTCCTGTCGGGATCAAAGCGGATACGACACCGCTCGCGGACAGAGAAGGCCGATAATAATTATTTGTCCGGCACGTCGCGATGCGCTCGTTATCGACCGACGTCGTCCTTTTTACTCCAACCCCAACCCCAACCCCAACTCCCAACTCCACCCCTAACCCCACCCCCAACCCCTAACCCCTTTCCTACCTTCATTCTCCTCTTTCTACTATTACTACTACTTCTCTTCCTACCTACCCCTTTCCCGCCCCCGTCTCCGCCCCCCCATCATTTTCACTATCGATCTCTCTTTCTCTTTCTCTCTTTCTTTCTCTTTTCGTATCCCAAACAACAAAAAATATACGAACGAAGATGGAAATACGGGAGAGACAGATGCATCGCGAGATAATTCTGCGACTGTCAATCGGTACAAATTTCCAAGCGTCCATCAAACCCTTCGCGTTTTGACGTTCGACCATTTTTGAATTAAAAAAAAAAATCAAAAAGAGAAAAGAAGAAAAAAAAAAAAGAAACAGGGGAAATAGAAGAGGATAAAAATATTACCGGCATTTCTATATATGTGTAACTATTCTCTCTCTCTCTCTCTCTCTGTCTGTGACCGGTCAATTACGTTTTCTCGACAATTGCGTTCGGTACTTTCCATAAATTCCAACTCATTCGTCCATCTTCCTATAGATTCTTTCTCTATCTTTCTTTCTTTCTTTCTTTGTCACTCTTTTCTTTTTTTTCTTCCTTACATTTCCAGCTTCCTTCGCGTACACCGTTCTATTACCTTAACTGAAGCTAAAGTATCAACAGGTGTTTCCTTGTTAGCATATTTAGTCGTTGTGATTCCCTTTTCCATTTTTTTTTGTTTTTTTTATTGTATGGGATCACTTTTTTAGAGATTACTTTTTGATAAATTTGTAATCAATCGATAAGATTGTTGTTATACGATTGTACGAACGATCGGAAATTAGTTTTGGATAATATTATGAATTATAATTTTGTTATAACGAGAGTTAGGAACAAAGGTTTGTTTTGTTTTTTGATTGCAGGTTTTGCGTAGGAGATCGGTTTTATTTGTGCGAAAATAAAATTCTTTGCGAGTACGATTACGAAGCGAGGTTCGCCAATATGGCACCTCAGTCGCCAGCATCACTCGCATATATTAAAAGGCAACTTCCGCCAACGGCAACCCCACCTGGACAAAACGTTCATTCTGGTCACAATCCTCTTCAAGGTCATCAGGGTATCGGACAGATGGTGGGACCCCATAATCACGCGACGAACGTAAGTTTTTTCTTTTTTTTTTTCTTAATTGAAAATTTATATTCGAACTTTGCTTCCATATTGTTTCAACGCGTTCATAGATAGTAAAAGTTTCAGGGAGGAAAATAATAAAGTGACAGTCGTTTTTATTTTGAAAATTATAATTGTTATATAGAAAATTTCACACATTTATAATTTCAACATATTTTATAAGGGCAGTCAGATGATCATATATTAAAGAATCATTTAGTCATTTACCTTTACAGGTATAATTACAAAAACTATTAGATAAAATTCAAAATAAAAATTTAAAATTTGAATGATATAGTCATTAACGTCCACGAACGTGTTAAATTGTTGTACTTTTAAAGTAATTTCAATGAAATTTATGAAAATAATTATAAGAAAAATATATGTTTGGCCAAAAAAATGGTGGAACAGGTTTCTGTTATGTACCATAAAGTATTAACAAATAAATTCGTTTAAAAATAAATGAAATTATAATGAAATGATGTTAAAGGAACGATTAATTTTTTGATTTCAGGGTCAGATGTCAGGTGGAGGAGGACCAACAATAAATGGTACAGCCATAGGCGTGGGTGGTCCTCGTGCACCAGGTGATATGAACAACAATGGACTATCTGGGCCTGGTTTGGGTTCGGTGAAACCATTGCCGATGACGATGCAGGCACCGACGAGCTGAGACGAGGCTTTACCACCTCTGAAGAAGTTAAGATGTCTCAGCGGTTATTAATCAACCGAATCGTGTCGAGTGTTGTTGCGCGATTTTAAGCTTCGGAGTTAGAAGAAGAAGAAAAAAAAAACAAAGAAAGAAAGAAAGAAAGAGAAAAAAGAAACTTGAACGTCCGCGCGCGAACTGAAAACCGGGCGAAAATTGAATAATCCGAGTCTCGCATAATCATCGCATTGATTTTTGTTTTCTTTTCTCGAAAATTTAACGAGTGTAAATGAGGAACGTTTTCTCACCTACGGCGTAAAATGATAAAAAAAGATAGGGAAAAAAAGAAAAAAATCGAGAAAGAAAAAGAGACGGGTGTGCGAGAGTGTGTTGCGAGAATGATGAAACAATTGTGACGAACGAACAAACAAACAAACAAACAAACGCAAAGAAATAGACGGCGGGGGGTGGGGAGCAAAAAAAAGAAGAAAAACAGGTGATCATTGGGAAATCCATTGTAAATTTTGACCGGTGTGCTTCCCCCTCGTGGGGTACACCATAAACGGACAGTTTGTGTAAGATATGTTTCTAACGATAAGTAAAGATTAACTAAAGAGAGAGAGAGAAAAAAAACAAAACAAAAAAAAAGAAGAGTAAGGTAAGAGGATAAGTGATAATAGTGCGAAAAGAAATAATTAAATAAATAAATAAATGAAGAAAGAAAGGAAGAACGAAAGAAAGAAAGAAATAGTGTGAAAGAAAATGGCGGAGTCGAGTTGTAAATATCCTTATTAATATATCGACTTCATGAGTGGACGCCTGAGGTTATACGAGTATACGTCTAACGATTAAGATCTTTCTATGATTATTATCACCTTCGTTAAACCGGTTAACGTAATCCACTCTCGTTCTTTTATTTTTATCCTTCCAATTAGGTGATTTTTTCGAACGAGAAAGAGAACGCGGTGACATAGCGTTACGACATAAAAGAAGAAGAAGAAGAAGAACAAAAATAAAAGAAAAAATAGAAAGGAAGAAGAAGAAGAAGATGATGGCTGAGTATAGGAAAATGGTCAAATAAATGTTTTGTTCTTTTTTCATCCCCTTCTTCTTCTTCTTTTTCTTCTTCTTCTTCTTCTTCGTCATATTAACGTTGAATGAATTTAAGAATCTTGCCATTTTTTCGTACGAGGATTTTCTCACGTTATTATTATTATTATTTTTCTTCTTTTTCCCGTTTGTTTCATTTCCTTTTTTTCTTTTTTTTTTCCCCCCCCACTTTAACGAAGAAGAACGCAGGAAAAGTATTCATTACTATTAATGCCTTTTAAAAGAAAAATAAATAAACAAAAGGGGACTTTTAACTCGAGTTCCATACAGCCGATACCAAAGATTAACGATGTAAGATTACCGAAAAAAAAATTATGAAACAGATGTAAAAAAAAAAAATAAGAAAATTCGTTATAAAACAAAATTCCGAGTGTTAAGATTATCGAAGTTTTTCAGTGTTTCCTTGCGACCCCCTGAATTTTGGGGTAATAGTGTTGGCTGGTGAGGGCGGGGGATAGGGAAGGGTAGGGGGGGAGGTCGAAGCTTTAAATTTTTCAAATAATAAACCAAAGATAAAAGATGACAGATTATAAGAAAAATAAGTTGCATCCACACCAAAGGATTTATGGGATTTACAATTAAAGATCCGAATTTTCGGATGTGACGATCGAGGAGGACCGATGCGCTCGTTTTTGTAAATAAATTATTAATATATGATTAAAAAGTGAATAACAATATTGTGGGATCGAGTACCTTCATGCCAAATAAAAAGAAAAAAACAGGCAATCGTGAGAAAGTTGATCGGAAGGCCCAATTTTTGTCACGCGAATCCTACAATAATTATTTCTTTGTTTCTTTTAAAAAGTAACGAATCGTAATAATCTTTCGTTGTGGACGATCGAGCAACTCGCAAATCGTCGATCGTCATTTGTTGGAGTGTAAAACAACTGACGTATAGGAAAACAAAAAACAAAAGTAAAGAAGAACGAGAAGAAAAAGGAATGAAAATAAGTCCCAGCGCGTATATCGATGAAGTACAAAAAAAGAAAGATTAAAAAAAAAAAAAAAGAAACAAAATGATAGGAGAGAAAAAGAATTGTTTTTCTCCTAATAAACAAAATATGGCACCGCGCGAAATAAATGACAAAATATTACGCGCGCACTTCTTTTTATCCCGTTTCTTCGTAACAGTAGATTTAGGATATGCGAACAAATAAAAAGACAACAAGAACAAGACAACAATGAAAAAGATAACGAAAGAACACGAACGAAAAACAAAAAAAAAGAAATAACTTTACCAAGTCTAACCTTAAACAAAAAAAAAAGTGTTGACTTAAAAAGCAAAAAGAAAAATCAGAAAAACCTTACGGATTAATCCCCATTCAAAGTATATTTTTTCTTCTTACAAAATCCTTCCCCGATATCCGATACCACCCTGATATATTCCTTTTGATCCCGTATTCTCTGTTCGTACACTCGTCAAAAAAAATCTCTCACCAGCAAGCGCGCAAAAAGCCCGTTTTGTTATTCATCTGTATATAATATCGTTTACTAGCGCATTACCGATATATTTACGATCGGCTCTGTAGGGGCTGCTCTCCCATTACTACCGAGGAAATATAACATTCTTATAAATACAATCTGATACATTCGTGGAGCATTTTTATTTCACTTCCAGAACATTAGAGCTACAACCAACATAGAGAAAAAGAGAAAGAGAAAGAACTATAACCACCAAAACGAATTTCGTTCCGCCCAACAGCCCTCTCTCTAACATATACACGTACACACGTACACACATATATATATACGTTTATATAAACTACCTATTCCCCTTCCTACAAGTCCTCCCTTCCCTACTATTCCATTTGGGCTCTATTTATGGTCTTTCGAAGAATACGAGAGGCCACAGAGCCCCTCCTCGCAATCGAACGATACTATCGAAATCGCGAAACGAACGGGAAAAGACCGCGTGCGTTTCGAGAGTACGGTTTACCTTCCTTTTCCACGGGCCGTATTGGTCGTCGCTGAGTTACGACTTTTGGAACGAGTAATAGGACCAACAAACAGAAAGAGAGAGAGAGAATGTAAGAAAGAAAAGGGGAGTAGATTGAGAAAGAGAGAGAGAGAAAGCAAATACGATTTCCCTAATGCCTTCCAGACCCACCAAGTCAAACGTTATTATGCTCGGTGAAGACTTTATAATGGCGACACAGTTGAAACTTTCTTCAAACTAAATACGTGGTTTCTATAACCTTACCCTCTGCATTCACACACATTCTCTCTCTTTCTTTCAATTTTTTTTTTTCGGTTATTTTTTTATATTTAAAAGTTAGTGGGCAGACAACAGTTTTGCCAATTAACATTTTACGCGCGTGCACGTGTTTTGTGTGTGAGTTTCGTGCAGAAAGATATGACTTATCAAATTTCGTAGTCGAGTAAACGTGTATGTATGTGTAAAATATATATATATATATATATGTACGTGTTTACTCGTATCTTTTGGTGAGTCTCAGTATTAATTCGGTATCTTTCTATCGATCGGTTTCTATACGATATCGTAGCGATCCCACCTTCTGTTCTCGTTTCTCTTTCGTACATATATTCGTTCGTTTATTCGTTCATTCGTTCGTTCGTTCGATTCCAAGGCCGGAAATTAAGCCTTAAACCAGGGAGGCGGAATTTTGATGAGATTTTACGCGAACGATAGATTCTTCAGGCATTTACATAGATATATTTGTACGTACGTGGGTTAGTGCGTGAGTGGGTTGATGAGTGCGTGTATGTTGGTTATGAAGAGCTTAATGGCTTTTAATATATATCCCCTCTTCGTATTTGGTGATAATGATTTGCTACGAGAAAGGTGGGTATTATGAATATATTTTGTATAATCTTTTTAACAATTTTCCTATTTTCAACATTTTAATATCACGGTATCATTTCTAGTCAACAATTATTCTCGATGAAGATTATAAGTATTATAATCCTTTCACGATTAGCGTCGGGGTTATATTTGATATCAATTAAATATTAACGCTAAATTAATTAGTGCTAAAAAGGATTAATAATAATAAATATATCGTAAGTATAAACTATACTTTCTAATTAATCTTAAAATAATTATAAGTTGACGAATAAAAAATAGGGTCATATAGAAAATAAAATTTAATAATAATATTTAAAAGTTATGAATATGAAAAATAGGTTCGATTAGTTTAAACACACAAACTTTCTCTCACTCACTCACTCTATGTCCGTCTTTAAGCAAGCTTGCAAATTAATCGGATTTTCCTTGCTCGACCTTGAGAAGACGTTTCACCCTAACTCGTAGCGTATCGCATTAATCACGCAGAACGGTAGAGAGATAGAATAAGGGTGTGGGTGAAAGAGAGTACGACGAGGTCTCCCTTAAAATAATCTGGTCCCGAAATGAAATCAGCCAAGGCAATTTCCAGCCCCTATACGAGGATACCATGGCACGTTATCCAAGTATTCCTGACCGCCTGTGGCCCAACACGATGCAACCGACAAATGACGTTGGTCCAACCCCCTCGCGGCAGCTCACGGAATTAAAGATCCCGAGATAAGGGTGTCATGCTTTGCTATGCATTATGTGTTCGGCAAAAAGCTCGCCCCCGGCTTTCCATTCCTCCTCCTGCTGTTGCTGCTACTTCTACTTCTGCTTCTGTTGTTCGGTTCAGCCTATCTTCTTTTTCTCCAGAAAAATTCCAATTAATTTTTCCCTACTTTAACCATTCTTTTCTTCTTTTTTCATATCAATTGACACATTGAAGCTGATAAACAATTGTACCAAATGACTCTTGATTAATAGTTAATATATTTTTGATCGATGTTTAAAATGATTCTTACGAATAAGAGAAGAAAATTTAGGTTGGGAATTATCTTTTCAAAATTATTGTCTCTCGGTTGAAAAACGATCAACAGTTTCCCTTTTCCTTGTGGGAATACAGAAAAAATTCTACGAGGCGTGAGTATAATAATAAAAAAAACCGTGGAAATAAGAATAAAGTAACATAGTTCTATACGAAATGGAGTCTTTGATAGAGATGTATAGAGTTTACAAAGAAAGAAATAAAGAATTTCTTTGAAATAGCCAAGCGGAGTAACTCAGGCGGTAGACGTGTGTGGGGTGTTCGTACCACCGGCTGGGTTGCGTTATGATCTGCACATCCTCTCTTGTGCTTCAACCGAACGGAACCTTGGCAAACCTTCATATTTCATGTTTTATCGTGCGAAAGTATCGAGAAGAACGAACTGCCTTTCCCCTTCCCTTCCCTTCCCTTCCCCTCCCTTTCCCCTTTATCTTTCTCTGGCAAAATACCGTCCACGAGCTTGCACTGAATTTAATTACTTATCTAACATACTTAATACATATGTTACTCGAAATATTTGATCTTTTATCATATCTGAAGTTAGATTCAATAAAATAACTCGAATTTATTGAATCGTCGCGTAATTGTATCTTTTTGTTGTTGTTGTTAACCTTAAAAATTTCTCATTTATTTCGGGAAACATGTCGTCGTCGTCGATCATAACAAGGAATGAAAATAATCCGAATGATTCGATGAAAAATAAATCAAATGTTAAATCCAAATTCGATACCCTCACCACGGAATTTCAATATTACGGGTATATATAATTATGATATTTAATATTTTCTTATATAATGTTAGAATATTCATTTGATTATTAAATAATTCTTATTAATATGATGTATCATAGATTAAAAATATTTCGTAATTTTGGATACAATTGTGTGTTTGTTTGTAATAAAATGTATCGTTTATAAATAGTGCGGCTATTAGAAATTTGGCACCAGCCATGTCGCATGTAGAAGATAAAAGTAGAATCATTCCTTGGGTTGACAAATTATTTGCTGCCGAATATCACGTTGAAATTTTGCGCGATAAACGTAACAGGTAACAAATTGTTGATGAATTTTTTTTTTCTTTATTGGTTATACATATTTTTTTCTGAAGATATTTGTCATCTTTAACTATGAATATGTTGAACGACGAGTTGAATGGTGTATTTGCCGAGGATCCACCAATCGGTTCGCTCAAAGATTTGTCCAACGAGACAATAATCAAAGCTCCACCCGCTGAATGGGAATTGGATACAACTTGGAGCGAATATGTGGCATCTTTGCCTGACGATTACGAAGAAGTTCGTCATTTTAATATATCATTTATTTATTTATAATAATAATATTATTATTAATATAGATACCGTGTAGTTTTCACGACGAGAATTCGTTTTGCGAACAGGATACCTTTGAGATGGACGAACAAATGGATAATGTAAGCTTTTGTTTCATCGAAGTCTGACAATTTATCGACAATTACTACTTAAAAATAACAATTTTCATCATTATTTAGGAATTTTGGTTCTTGCTTTATCAAATCAGACCATACGCAGCATCTATACCATCTCCCAATGCGAGAACCATAGTCACTGCATGGATTCAAACGCTATGTCGATTGAGTTGTAACAAATGTAGCAAAATGAAGGGACTTAGAAATGATTACGCTTACGCCCTTTACGGGTAATTTTTATCAATTATTATTTATTTTCATGAATTTTGCGATAGAAATATATTTGGACATTTTCAAATAAATTAAGTTTGAATATATTTCGTATGAACAAATTTTATTTTAAATATTTTTCACGATTAGGAATAATATTCTAGAATCATTGATTTATTTTTTAAACCTTTTCCTATATCCTAGGTTAACAAAAGAATATTTTTTCTATTAGATAATTCTTTATAATCATTAATTTCTTTCGAAATTTGTCAAGATACGTGCGAGATTTGCGAATAGCCGGACCATTCCAAGATTATCCGCCAATGAATTATCTCGATTCTTTACCGGAAGCAGCAAGGTACGAAAAAATGAATACTCCTCGATGATAAACAAATAAAAGTATAGAAAATAATCGAGAATGCAAACATTATAGGCGAGCAGCAAAAAAGTATCCACTGACATCACCATTTAGCCAAGAAGCAGATTCCTTTATCATGGAGCAACCAACTACTGAGGAAGGTGCATTTTGTTATATCGCTGTAACGGGTGACGTCATTCAAACCAATGCCAAGTAATCGATCAGAAAAGAATACAAAAAAAAAAAAAACAAATAAAATGAGAATATAATAAAGAAAGAAAAAAAAAACAACAATAAGAACAAAAATGTCGATTTCAATCATTTTTTTATTTTGGAGGAAGGGGGTTGGTGGTGGAGGGGGAGGGGTAAAATTTCAATCCACAAGAATCGAACAAACGAACGGATAGGATAGGATAGAATAGAATAGGATAGACTGGTTCGTCGAAATCGGATCCGGTTTATCCCGAAACATCGTCGGTGTTTCACATCCTAAAACAATCACACGGCCGGCCGGCACGCCATTATACGGCCTTAACTTTGCTCACGCAGGAGTTGTGAGCGGTCGTCGTTATGTATAGGGTGTACCGAAGGAAATAACCGTCATCTGTATTCGCGATAACATCGTAATTGAATGCGGTTGACGGGGATTTGGTGTACGACGAGCGACCACCACCACCACCACCATCACCACCACCATCACTACCACCAGTACCATTACTAACACTAACACCCCAATGCCATAACTGTTCCCTTCCTCGCCACCTACTCTTTCTTACTCAAGCCCCCCCCCAAACCCCTCACCACAAAAAAACCCTCACCTCTTCCCATCTGTGTTCGTCTCCTCTTTTCTTTTCTTCTCTTCTCTTTTTCGCATGACGCACACTTTCCTACTATTACATAATACACACATACACAGATTCATGTAATCTCCCGTTTTTGAGTAGCAGACTTTCTCTTTCCCATGTTACGACCCATCTCTCTCTCTCTCTTTTTCACCCCTTCCGCTCTTTATCGTTCGGAGCTTTTCCTCTTTAAACCCCACCACCACCACCACCAACACCACCCCCTTCGTATCGCGAGGGTATTAATCATATCGAGGCGCGGAAAAATCTACCTTCTATCCCTCTTCTACCCCCCCCTCCCTCCCTCCCTCTTTTCGATGTCACCGATGGGTATTTCGCGCGTGTTATAATCTCGTGTATGCGCGCGTGCGTATAACATGCGGTAAAGGGCTTCGCTCGAATACTATAGTATAGATTATATAGAAAATAATAGGGTCTAAAGGGAGCTTTAAGTTTATGGACAACGTCGTTACATCAAATTATTATATCTACAAAATTCAAACACTTTTTAAAACTCTTGATTCGATTTTATTAGAATTTTATACGAGTATTAAGAATAAATACTTGGTTAACCATTTTGAAATACTTCAATCTTATCTTCATTTTATAAACTTTAAATTACGTCTTGTTACACTCTTTTCCCAGTCTTAAATAATCCAATTATTATATTTATAAACTTAATCAAATTTTCCTTTTTTCTTATTTGTTGTTATTAAAGAAGGTTTCGATTTCTTTAAACATACTTTAATACCTTGATACTTAACAAAGTTTTAACAGAATTTTCTAAGTGTTGGAATTTTATACGAATAGCAAGAATAGAGACGCTTGATTAATCTTTTTGAAATGATTATTTTCTTCGTTTATAACTAACTTTATTACTCTTTCAATCTGAAATAATTCAATTTTTATATTTTTCAAACCTAATCAAAAATCCCTTTTTCTCTTATTTAAAGCTTTGAGAAGTGATATTGATTTTGATTGAACCATTCCATTCCAAGTCGCTATGTGTTAAATGATAAATATAATAAAACATTTATTCAATACGTCATATATTAATATTTCTAAGAAATATTTTTCTTCTATGCAGGATGAGAAGTATTAAAAATATAATGCTTAAGATCGAAAGGAAAAAAAAAACGTAAGGCAGATCAGTAATAAGTTCATCCTAGATTCGTAGATGTGGGTATCGGTTCTTGCATTCCGAATGCACTGATGGGAAATACTTGTTTCTTTCTGGCAACTGTCACTACAACTGAGTGGCGCATGACCGTCGGACTTTGCGTTCTATTAATGGTCATTTTCAAACGTTCCTCTTTCTCTTTCAACCCTCTTCTCCCCTCTTTTATAATAGCCCAAACTTCGATGATACCCTTTCGGCTTTTATCAACTTTCCGATAAAAGTCCTTCCCAGATTTATTGTTAACTCTGGCCATTACCGTTTTGTGCGTCATAAACGTTTAACGTGTCTTTTAAAATGAATTCACACAACTGATTTTCTCATACCAGAATCTCTCTTCGATTATTTAAAAATTGATTTGCAATCCCGCACGTTTTGTTTCAAATGTATTCTCTATACTTATAAATAATACGAATATATTCCAAATAATTTCGGATTTGGGCTCGTTAAAAATAGATTATTCGAAAAAAAAATATAAGCGACATCTTGAGAGGAGTAAATAATAAATAAATTGGATAAATAAAATAATAATTATTGTCGTAACAATTGTCTCGGATTAAAGAAGATACGATATTTCTTTGATCCAAGCAAAGAAATTGCTGATAACGTTCAACAAAGGATTCTCAACGATAGAACGATAATACATCTTCGATTCTCGTGAAAAGGCTTACCACAAATGACCATCGTTTGATTTCCTTTACATTGTCCGAAGAAACTTATACGTAAGTATAAGAAAAAGTTTCTAAGAGATATTACTTACGATTTATTTCTTATCTGCACTTAGGATTGCGTCAGAGTTGTTCGTAACGTTTTTAAGATATTACACCTTTGTGCTTTTATTATTTGATATCTTTCAATTGCACATCCAAAAATCCCTTCGCAAGACATATGATTACGATATTATTCCAATATTAATTATGACAATTTATGATTATTTTTGTTTGGATTAAATACACCCGGTAGATTATTTTGAACGTTAACGAAGATACTTTGTGGTTGTTGTTAGCATCGGGATTCGTAATGGTCCTGGCTCTGAACTCGAGGAGAGGACAATAATCGGGCATAAGCAGGGCATTAGGGTCGAGTTAGTTGCTTCCACGAAGTAGCAACAGCAACTACTCTCATATAATAGTCGGCAGGGTGTTCATTTAGTTTGCTTGTAACTATTCCTATGGATACTACTACCACTTTACTCTCATACTCTTCTTACTCCTTGAACCTTTTCTTCTACCTTAACCCTGTGAAGAACTTTCAAGTCACACACAGGGCTAGTAGAAATGGGATAAGAAAAGGGAAAGAGAAAAGTGAACTGAGAATATTACCATGGGGAATGCAAGCTAACGTGGGCAACGATACGCATTAATGGAATCGAAGAATTGACTGGAAATGTTAAATGAGAGAAACCCTCATGTGCATTTCTCATTCGATCGTGATTCCCATTATTGTATAAAAATAATTTCAATAAGCGATTAATTTTTTGGGGAAGGATTTATGCGTTTTAACATATGACAAATATAATCTCTCAATGAATAAAAATATTTGTAAATATCAGTATATATACGCGTAATTACTTAATAAAAGAAACAATTTATTAACGCGTGAGAAAATCTAACGATTGGTTGAATCTTCTCAACGATTATCTCAAAGTAAACCGTCTAACAAGACATTGTTCCGAATTGCTTAGCAATTTTCCCTCGACGTTGGTCTTTTCCACCCTCTCACCCATCCTCCTGGAAGCTTTCACTACCCACATGGAAACGGCAGTGTCGTAACATCCATTGGGAGATTCACAAACCTAGAAGCAGTTAACAATCCTTGGCTTCGGTGACGGTCGTTAGCGACCAACCTGTCTCCTCCTCTTCCTATTTCTCTTTCTACCCGTTAACTACACAACCTAGAATACCAAAGTTAAAATCGAGGAAAAGTAAAACATCCCCATTCAGGAAGAAAAGTTATTACACGAAAACTATACTCTAGTCAATGTCCTTAGTAAATCCAATCGTCTCTTGTAACACCCAATTACTTTTTCTGCTTCTTCTTCTTCTTCTCAGAGTTTAGGATGAGGGTAGGAAACCTAAATGGATAAGAACAAACTACCACGAAACGAGCAGTCGATGGCTAATAAAAGTCGTAACATTCATTTGTACGAGCACCCGCGTTCTCAAGAAGAGGGGAAGAATAAACCTTACGAAAGATCGAATCCAATCGGACGATTTCCAATTTGTGTTTTACCCATGCGGTTAGTTAACAAACCTCTACGTAATCATCGATACGTTATACTAGATTTTACCAATAATTCCGAGAATTTTAGGATAAGGTATGGTAAGGAAACGGTGACACAATACCACAACCCCTTTTAGAAAGGAAAGCTTTTTTCAAGTATATTAGGACCTTTCCTTTTGAACATTATCACCGACCGCGATAAAGTCTTTCTTTTCTCAGTTATACTTACTGATAATGTATTCCAGCAAGCATCTCGAGAAAAATACAGATTAAAGCTCCTAAGCACGGATTTAACGCTTATTTATACTCCGCTAAGTACCGGCATTACTGCCGTATTACGATCTTAACGATCGCTCCAACTTTTTCCTAACAGATCCTCACCTCACCTCACCTAACCTCTCTTCCTTTTCTTCTTCTTCTTCTTCCCCTTTTTTTTCCTTTCTTTTCATCGAGATTAGCAGCAATGTGTTCGAACGGGACATTTCTTTCGCGTTCTTTTTCGCGTTCTTTTTCGCGATTCGATTAATAGCAACTAAAGGAAATCCTTGCAAGAAAATCGGGATATCATTTATTCTCTTTCTCTTTCCTTACCTTCTTAACGTTCTTAAATTTATACAGGTAACTCTGTTAAGTATTTCGGTTGGATTTGAGTATTTCGTCGTTATAGAAATATACGAGAACTGCGAAAAGATTTTCCAGTCGACTATTTAAGAGAGAGGGGTATAGAATGGCGTGTGGGGGTGGGGAAAGAGTGGGAAGAGGAAGGGGGGTGAGACTTTTACGATCGTCCCTAGGGAACCCTCGAAAAAAAAGGGCGCGATTTTTCACGGTTCCGTTGAGTAAGTTACTCCTTTTATTTTTCTAATCCCCACCCACCCACCCACCTTTCGTTCTTCTTTTTTCTTTTCTTCTCTTTCCTTTTCACCCCGTTCCACAGCTGCACCGGAGTTTGAAGTATTTGATTACGACCTTAGCTC